AGTTACTTCCTTCCTCCTCCTCCTCCTCCTCCTCCTCCTCCTCCTCCTCCTCCTCTCCCTCACTGTCGTTGCTCTGCAGGTACCGCATCCTCAGATTCGCCCTATGCAGTACTCAGGCTACGGAGGCTTCAACTTCATGAACTTCTTGTGATTTTTGTCCCTCACTTGCACAGGTCCTCTAAACCTCCTCATCTCTCCGCCCTCCACCCTCTCCTCCCATACACCCTCTCTCCTCCTCCCTCTCCTCCCTCTCCTCCTTCTCCTCCTTCTCCCGCCTTCTCTCCATGCTCTCAAGTTTCCTCCAGATAGTTCCAACTCAACGTTCGGGTCAGAGATGTTTGCGATTTCTTCACTTGTACATCCTTCAGCACATATCCCCTTTGTTCGTCCCAAACTGCTTCGCCTCCTCATCGTTGATTGCTTCCGGCCGTCTTTGCGTCGCCGCTGCAGTGCGCACCCGATGCCTTTGCATTTCCCGTTCTCCTCCTCTCCCTCCCTCTCTCCCTCCCTTCCGTCTCTCTTGCTTCTCTCTTCTTCCCTTCCCTTTCTTCACTTGTCTGTCTGCGCGTCCAGGATGGCGTTGATGGTCTCGTCGTAGTTGAACTTGTTGGCTCGCAGCAGCGCCTTCACTTGTTCCTCTTCCATCTCCTGCATCCCCACCAGTCGCAGCTCAGCCATCAGCCCTTCCACCATGCATCGCTCCTCCTCCCCCTCCCCTCCTCCTCCTCCTCTTCCCTCTAGTTCACATCCTCCACCAGCTTCCGCCCTAGATACCTCTAACAGCTTATCGACTTGCTCCCGGTAGCTTGCCTCCTCCTCCTCCTTGAGCCGTGCGCTCTCCTCCAGTGCTCTTCGTAGCTCCTCCTCCTCCTCCATCCCTTCAGTGAACTTTCCCCCTGTTGTTGACGCTTCGATCGCCTGCTCTATCAGCTTCCGGTAGCTTGCCTCCTCCTCCTCCTTGAGTCGTGCGCTCTCCTCTAGCGCCCTTCGCAGCTCCCCCTCCCCCTCTTTCTCTTCCTCCATTGCGACCTCTGTCCCCTTTTCTTCCCTTCCCTCCACGGCTCTCGATACCTCCAACAGCTTATCGACTTGCTCCCGGTAGCTTGCCTCCTCCTCCTCCTTGAGCCGTGCGCTCTCCTCCAGTGCTCTTCGTAGCTCCTCCTCCTCCTCCATCCCTTCAGTGAACTTTCCCCTTGTTGTTGACGCTTCGATCGCCTGCTCTATCAGCTCCCGGTAGCTTGCCTCCTCCTCCTCCTTGAGTCTTGCGCTCTCCTCTAGCGCCCTGGCCAGCGCTTCCTCATCTAGATTCAAATCTCCATGCTCGTTGAGAGAACATTTGGACTCAATCATGGCGCAGTAAAGTTCTAAGTCCAGCTCCTCCTCCTCCTCCTCTTCCTCCCTCTTCTTCGCCTCCTCCTTCACCTCAAAGACTGATGGGTCGAACACATTGGCTGCCTGCATCGCCTTCCACACGTGCTTGCTGTTCACTCTAGTCTTGGCTGCCTCCTCTTCCTCCTCCTCTCCTCTGCCGTATCCTCCCAGGGATCGGAGGAGGGCCTTGCTCGCTGTGATGGTCACCGGACTTCCATCAATGACGTGGCGAATGAGGAGCGCGTTTCTTGAGAGCTGCTGGTCCTCGTCGAAGAAAACCTCTGCATGCCTCTGCTTCAACTCCACGTGCCTCACTCGCCCTATGTGCGCGAAGTGATTGCGAATGGTGGAAGCATCAACCTGCAAGTTGCGCATAAGGCCAAGACAAGAGAAGCTGGGACGGAGGATGAGAAGTTAAGAATATGAGAGATTGCGGACGAGAACAATCAACAAGAGTGAAGAGGACGAGGAAAATGGAGAAGGAGAAAAATGGAAAGAGGAGGAGGAGAGTGGAGGAGGGAGGAGTGGAGATGGCGATAGCTTTGACCTCGCTTGGTATTCCCTTCACTGAGATAAAATGTCTTCCATGCTCACGACTTGATTTCTTCTTTCCTTGTCTCAGCAGCTCAACCTGCACAGACCATTTGAGTCCCTCCTCAACCTCCTTCTCTCCTCCTTGTCCACCTTGAACGGGAGCTTGTCTTGCTCCACAGCTCTCTTCGCCGAAAGAGTATCGGCAAAGACGAGCATAGCTTCGCTCTCGTCCATCTTTCCCGGCGTGTTCTGCACCTGGGACCTGACGATCAGCACCAGGCAGGCGTCTGACTTTCCTCCCGTCACCTTGCAGTCTTCCACCTCCCCGTACGCGCTGAACAAAGCCGACAAGGCCGTCGAGTCCACTCCTTCTTCCAGCCCCCTGCACAGCAGCACACGAGAGGACATGTTGCTGTCCATTCCTTGTTCCTCCTGTTGCCTGGCCTTGCAGTCGGCGTACTTTCTCACTGAGCTCTTGCCTCCTTCTCGGATGCAGCCGACGATCGCTTTGCAGCAAAGCTCCCCAGACTCCAGATGAATGTTGGGGCATGGGACAGGAGGAGCGTCGTTATACGGCATGAAAGCTTCCAGCCATTTCCTCTGCTTCACTGTCGTTCTCTTCACGACACAAGACCAGTGGCAGACAATGTTGCCGCAACGAGAGCATCGCAGCCATGCCAGCTCCTCAAGTCGTTTGTCACATGGTTTGAAGCACATCGCACATTCCACATGTCGAGCCTGCATCCTCAGCCTTTCTTCTCTCTCCTGCTACTCCTCCCCTCCCCTCCCTCCCGCCTCCTCACCTCATCCTGCGCGGCTTCGCGCTTGGGCTGGCGCTGCCGCGTCTGGGTGCCAGCAGTGCTGGTTCTTTTCGGGCTTGTGTTTTGTGAGTGATTGTGCAGCTTCTCGCTGTGGACTGTGTACCTGCCGGTTCAGCTTGTTCCTGCTTTGTTTTGCTTGAGGCACTTTTTATCTTCTGCCAGTAAATCCCGTCTCCGCTCCTACGCATACCCTCACTCCTTTGGCCCAAATTCCCGCTGACCGGCGGGCCCGGTTGGAGAACATGAGTAAAGATTTCGAATTTCAAGTCGTTTTCAAATTTCGCTCTTTTTTTCAATATTTTTTGAAATCGTGGTTAGAAATAAAGTCAATATGCCCAAAAGTTCAAATCAGCTTCGTTGCAATATGTACCCCTACCCACTCTATAACACAAAAGTACCCCCACTGATTAGCATGGGGTCATTGTACCCCACCCCTCATAAGAGGTTCTTGTACCCTCCATTGTTTCGTAGTTTCAGTTGCCCTGCTCATCCAAAATGCCACCCATGGCGTTGTCGACGATGGGAGCGACATCAGCCATCAGCACAACCCCGACCAAGGTCCCTCCTTCTCGTTCCTGATGATCCCTCTGCCTCCTCCCTCCCCTCCTCCTCTCATCCTCCCTCCTTCTGCCCTTCTGCACCTGTATTGACCAAAGTTTGTCTTGATTCCTTGCATGGTGTTCTGCATATCGTACTTCCTCAATTTGCATGTAAATCGCTTCGTTAGACTCTTGTTGGCTCGAACTTTCCTGCGTGATCTGTCTCTGGTTCTCATGAAAGCGACAGATGAAATCTCTGGAGAGCTCGTCGCGATCAACACTCAATGGCCTAGCACCTGAGTTCACTCCGACCAAGAAGAGCTGTCGATCTGCTCCAGTGACTCCGTGCAAGAACGATGCAAACGATGCCTGCTGGGAAGAAGCCTGTGCAGCTGCTCGCTGGTGGGCAGAGAAGCTGAGGCAACAGGATCAGTCGAGCTCCAACGGATTCGAGCATGCTCTTCGAGGGTTGATTCTCAGTCGGTGTCGAGGTCACTGGTACCCTCAAGATCCCCTCCGAGGAAGCGGCTTCAGGAGCATCGTCAACGACGTCTCTACAGACCCGATTCTCCTCGCTGCAGGAGAAGCGACAAGGATCCGAGATATCAGGAGCCGATTGCCGCAAGGAGTGATGTGGATCAACCCCAAGACCGTCAAGGTGAAACTGGAGGAGGATAGGTGGGCAGAGACCATCTTCAGCTGCAGCGCTGGCTCTTCCCATAGCTCTGCGAGTGCGTCGGAGGCCGAGGATGATGACACATAACTCTCAAACAGCAAGTCATTCCTCACTTCATGTATGTTCAAGTAGGCCGGCATGGCGTGTAATGATATCAAACTTTGAGTATCAAAAAGTCAAAGAGGAAACTCAGAGGTGAAATTCTTGCAAGGGATCATCTGCATTCGCTTCCTGAGGGAGCCTCTACAACCTTGTGTGGATCCGTTTCTAGGCTTCATGTTTAGGGAAGAAAGGGTCCATCTCCCGGATACAGCCTACCCAACACCTGCAGCTCGTCACTAACACACACGTCCAGATGCCAATTCTCGACCAGCTGAGGGTCGGGGAAGAGCCGAAGAGCCTCGTCGTGATCTTTCTTCGCAACCACTCCGGGCATATCGTGGGTCTACGGCGTCGGCATCAAAGTCAAGGAAGGGATCAGGCAAGGCTGACCGTTGGCTGTTGTAAGGAGAGTTGGAAGTGCAGATGGGGCGGCCAACCTCCATTCTCGTCGCTCCCTGGCACTCTGTCATGTTCCAAGCTTCAATCAGCAAGCCTGCCTCACCTCCCACGAAAGCGAGGAGGTCTCCAGCGCGAACTTCCTTGCCCTCGTACAGGCGACTCCTGGTAAGCTCTCAGTCGCCCGACATGCAACTTCCTCAGGGGCGAACATGCTCTTGGCAGATAGATGACCGTAGAGGGCCCAAACCCGATGGCCGTTTATATTGTGCTCAGTGACAATCACATGCCCTGCTGCTGCTTCAGCTCCAGCACCTCCTAAGCGGAGTCACCATAGTCTCCCGGCGAAGGGTTGAAGCCGAACTTGTACACACGCCCGTCAAAAAAGCTGCGGATGGGGGTGCCAACAGCAGCTGGCAAGCGACAAGCTCTGTCATACATCGACTCTCTGCTCGACTCTCCCTCTACCGCCGATGTCGATGCCCACGTGAATGTTGCGCAAGCCGTCGAAACCTTGAACTCTATCGACAGACTGCGAAGTGAGTTACAAGCTTGAGCGAGAAACCCTGAACCTCTACCTGAAGCAGCCTCTCGTACATGGCTGGCCTCATCTCGTTGTACCTGCAACGCCATCATTCGGGGCGATAGGGACAGGAAGTCTTTCACCTTCCAATGTCCATCTTTCCTTGTAAGACAGGAAACATCTGCATCCAACACCTGTGTGACCTCGCTGACTGTCAGCCGGCATCATCACCTGGCCGATCCATCGCCTGACCCTGCCAGCAGCGTCACTAGCGTCAAGCTTGTCCCGGGCTCACCTCAACAACATTGTTGTCGATGTTTCTCCTCCAGTGAAGTCTCGCACGAAGTATCCTCGCTCGCTGGTCTCGCTCGCCATCAGGTCCACGCAGAAACCCTTCCTCGCTCACCGGTAGGGCATCACCGGGTAATACTCGTGTCCCTCAAAGATGCTCGCATGCTCTTCCCGCCTTCCCACCATCAGGCACGTTTTCTTCCTATCATCTCAACAACACCCGCATCTTGCCGAGTCCTCATGCCTGCTAACGTTCAGCTCCGATCAGTGTAGGGCAGAGCCAACCTGACAGACGTCTTGAGGCGCTCAACCGCCTCAAGCTCCGCTCTGCCTCAACATGTTTGTCAGCGCGTCCACAGCATGATCCTCGAGGCACCTTAGCGTCTGACACTTTCGCTCGAGCTCATCTAGGCTTGGGGGTCCGTCAGATCTGCATGAGTCCCTCACTCCTCACCAGCAAGCCTGGCGACAAAGGGAACAGGGAGCCCGCAGACGAGGCGACGAGGAGAGGGGAGCGAAAGCTACGAGAGCGGATGAGAACCTGGAAGAGTGTGGGAAGGTGAAGACAAGGAGGAGGAGGAGGAGGAGACGAGGCTTCACTTCCAGCATAGGCAGCTGCGCCCACATCTGAAATTTCGATCGATATCGATTTATTGACTGAAAAAGAAGGGCAAATTTCAGTGCAAACCGTCCAGCCGGGATCGGAGCCGGTGGGCCGGCCGGGCCCGGAAGCTCCGCTGGTGAGTGCACGCGGCAACACCGGTGACCGTGACCTCATACTTTACTCAAAGTTAAGTTAAAAATCAGTACGAGGACAATAATGAGAGTCGAGGAGGCGTGACCCTGACACTACTATAGACATTGAACCGATGAAATTGATATAAGCCTGATGAACAGATTTATTCATGAGCCGATCAGTTCTTCTACCACCCTGTCGCTGCAAGTGAGGTGCGACTCTGATGATGTCCGAGGCTCCCTCCGACTCCTTACCTGTTCACGTCTCCGTTGTGTCTATCCAGCAGGCGCTGAGCAGCAAGTCAGGGGAGGTAGGAGGCTCCTTTCGTTGCTCACTTGGTTACGCTCGACGTCATGGAATCCCATGCTAGCTAAGTTGGCCATGGCGGCAGCGTCGCTGCGTCGCGGCTCTAATGGCATAGAGAAGTAACTTAATAGTGACAAGAGTATCTCTCAAGGGACCTGCAGCCCTGCCCGGCTGACGTTGGAGCAGCCCGTGATCCCCTGCCATGAAGGGCTTAGCAAGACCCAGCCTCTACGCGCATCCTCCTCCTGCCTGACTGTCGATGAGCCCCGTTGTCAGCATGCCTCTGAAAGATCTACAGTCAGCCACCGGGCAATGACGACCAGCAGCGTCAAACCTGTTGTACCCGAGGCCTCCCCTGCAGAGGGCGAGCTGCTGCATCAGTTGGACCATCCAGGAAGGGAAGGAAGAGAGCAGAGGAAAGACGGTAGATCCAAGTCGGCAACATGTACTTCCTCAACCCCAACACATTCCATCTGAACAAAGAATCCATGAGCTGTCACGAAGATTTAGAGTGAATGTTTGGAACCTGTACATGATGCCGGTCAAGATACCGGAAGCAGCTGCCAATTGAGATGGTCTAGAGAGCGAGCAAGACAGCTTTTGCAGTTTTTGTAACTGAGACGAAGAGAAGCAAGTCGGTACAAACCTGCACGGCCAGGAGGTAGATGAATGATTTGTTGCTGAAGTTCAATCCAAACATCTGCATTGACTGCGAGACAGGAATCTCGAAGTAATACTTGGGTTTGTTGTTACGCACTCGCTTATGCATAATCTCAAACACCTGAACAAGACTTGCGAAGATCAGCCCGTAAGGACCAGACGCAACCTGGACATCAAGTGACTCTCATGATTCTTGCTTCTTTCGTTCCTGTGCTACCTGCATCACCAAGCTCTGCCTCCATGAGCGCTGGAAGAACAACGTTCCAGTCCCCACGATAGCGCTGTCATGCAAGTATATTCATTGAGCCTGCCAGGCAGCTGTTCTCCTTCACCTCAAGGTTTTCGCTACGACCACGAACGCACCGAACTTCTTCGAGCCCCTTGAAGATCAGGTCAGCTTAGCACAAGTCAGTCTCCCTCCCAGCTCCACTACCAGTGCCGCTCAAACTGACGGAAGGTATACATCAGAACCATCCCAAGAATCTGCATCAACACCGTCAAAGCTAGTAGACAGCAACGTTGAACGTACAAGCTCGCTTGCTGTGGAAAAGAAAAATTGGTATGTGATGACTCGCCAGACCTGACGGCGACCAAGCAGCTGGTACGAAGTAACAGCAACTAAGTCAGACAATGAAGGGTTTGATGAATGTATGCGTACGCACCCCTTCGCTGTCAAGTTCCAATAGCTTTCCGACCTGATGAACACGGATCAAACAATCTCATAGCGTGTCAAAAAGCTTGCCTTCATGGCCGAACACGTGATGGTCGCAATTGCCGACAAGCCCATGAGGCCCTAGGGCTGATGTCAGAGCTTATTTCGCTTCTTTGAAATGTTCAGCCATAGACAACAAGTGAAGAATGGTTCGAGCGAAAAGGAGCGGCGTCACAGGTAACTCGAGATTGATCACCTTCGAAACTGGTGCATTGTGAAATCCTGACATGCTGCACCTTGACAATTTGTCTGTATTGCTATTCACCATGAAGCTGTCAGGAAACAAGCAGAAACAACTTGGGATGATAACCCGCTTGTTCCACGTTACAACGCAGCGGGTTAAGTTTTGAGCTAAGCGCTTCAAATATCTCAACCTCATCGTATCAGACATGACAGCATCGTACTACCGCCCCCCTTCCCCTTCTCTCACTCCCCTTCCCTTCCCTTCCCTTCCCTTCCCTTCCCTTCCCTTCCCTTCCCTTCCCTTCCCTTCCCTTCCCTTCCCTTCCCTTCCCTTCCCTTCCCTTCCCTTCTCTCTTCTTCTCTGTTCGCCCTGCAAGCTCATTCCAAGAAACCACATGTCCCCTCTTGCCCAGCCAGCGGCCGGCCCGACCGCCGGCCCGGCAAGACCACTGAGCCTCCGACACTGAGTCAAGGCCACATCCGGGCCTGGGATCTGCGATCCGACGGTGGGCGGAGAGCTCGACACCACTGGGGTGTCCGAGCTCGCCTGCCTCCGATGCCGCACAGCCCCGGTCCCTCGGCATTGATGCGGCGTCGCCGCTCCGAGTCCGGTCCGTCACGGGTCACTGGCGGTAGTAGGCGAGATCACCACCACCCGTCCGCCGGGCGTGCCCCGAGTACCCGGCTGACTCGGAGGCCCTAGTGAGGAGGCCCCCTGGGGCCAGCCGCTGAGCCTCCCTCTGTCCGCTGCCCCAGGCGGACACCCGGGCAGCGCCGGCCCCTTCCCAAGTCTCTTGCGGCTCGACACCACTGGGGTGCTTGCTGCTGGTCCGAGCTCGCCTGCTTCCAAGTTCCTCCCCGGCATCGGTCGGGTCACGCCGGTCCTTGGGCATTGCCGCGGCGTCGCCGCCGTCACGGGCGGCTACCGCTGACTCGGCTACCGCTGACTCGGAGGCTAGCGAGGAGGACTACCTCGAGCGGTACCGTCACACGGTTCCTGTGTCCAGCCTCCCTCCGTCCGCTGCCCCAGGCGGACCCCCGGGCAGCGCCGGCTCCTTGTCGGCGGCTGCCCTTTCTCCGTCCGCGGCCGCCCGCTTTGTGGCGGGAGCGGACGTCTCGACTGACAGTGGTCAGTCGGCTGCCTCCGGGTATCGCGTCTAAGGGATTTTATTCCTCCTGCATGCTCCTGCTGCTTCTGCCAGTAAATCCTATACAAGCTTGTTGCTTGATTGCTTGACCCTTAGGCTGCTTGTCTGCGCGGCTTGCGCTTGGGCTGGCGGTGCCGCGTCTGGGTGCCAGCAGTGCTGGTTCTTTTCGGGCTTGTGATTGTGCAGCTTCTCGCTGTGGACTGTGTGCCTGCCGGTTCAGCTTGTTCCTGCTTTGTTTTGCTTGAGGCACTTTTTACCTTCTGTCAGTAAATCCTGGAGGAAGAAGCGCAGCTTCTGGAGATGGCTCGCCCTCACCAGCGTCTTGAACATGAAGCCATGCTGGACGAGCCCGAGCTTCGAGAGCTCTTCGTTGAGGGTAGAAACCTTCGCTCGGAGCTGACTAGCATGAAATCCATCCGTGCCGATAGGCAGGCCGCCAAGTGTAATCCCGCTGCTTCCTCCCCGGCATCGGTCGGGTCACGCCGGTCCTTGGGCATTGCCGCGGCGTCGCCGCCGTCACGGGCGGCCCTACCGCTGACTCGGCTACCGCTGACTCGGAGGCTAGCGAGGAGGACTACCTCGAGCGGTACCGTGTTCCTGTGTCCAGCCTCCCTCCGTCCGCTGCCCCAGGCGGACCCCCGGGCCGCAGCGCCGGCTCCTTGTCGGCGGCTGCCCTTTCTCCGTCCGCGGCCGCCCGATTTGTGGCGGCAGCGGACGTCTCGACTGACAGTGGTCAGTCGGACGGTCGGCTGCCTCCGGGTATCGCGTCTAAGGGATTTTATTCCTCCTGCATGCTCCTGCTGCTTGTTGCTTGATTGCTTGACCCTTAGGCTGCTTGTCTGCGCGGCTTCGCGTTTGGGCTGGCGCTGCCGCGTCTGGGTGCCAGCAGTGCTGGTTCTTTTCGGGCTTGTGTTTTGTGTGTGATTGTGCAGCTTCTCGCTGTGGACTGTGTGCCTGGAGGTTTAGCTTGTTCCTGCTTTGTTTTGCTTGAGGCACTTTTTACCTTCTGCCAGTAAATCCTATACATCCGCCAGTGACGACCTCGAAGTGAAGAAGTTGAGTCTTGAGACGGCGCTGCCGCGTCTGGGTGCCAGCAGTGCTGGTTCTTTTCGGGCTTGTGTTTTGTGTGTGTTTGTGCAGCTTCTCGCTGTGGACTGTG